AAGCTTGAGCTTTTGGTTGAATGAGTTCCTTGACACTATTCAAGGATGTTTAGAAGATAGATTTATTTTTTCTTCTCACTATGATCCGGTAATACTTCTTTCTTTCCTTCCCATCTAGGATGTTGGTTGTAGTCATTCCTCGGAATCGTGCTCACAAAATGTTGGAAGATTCTTATCTGCTATGGATAAAATGGGATTGCCCAGGTTTCGTGCTTCGGATTTAGAATATGTAAGTCACTCTAGGACAATTCTTCATAGCTTTCTCTGGGGAGAAAACTTAGTTGATTAAATCATTAAGTGACCTAGAATATATACCGTAATGACCTTGAGAATATGAGAAGGTTTATAAGTTTTTTAATGTTAAATTGATGACCAAAATGGTCATAACGAGTTTGTGCTTCCTTAACACTCAGGGGTCTATGAAGATAATTGTTGATTGCCTCTTAACACTCAAAACACATTTTATGCCAAATGTTGGACAACACATGAATTTGAATATGCATCATGGATCCAATTTGTCCGGAAATGCTTCTAGTATACGATGGAAGGGGTTGGGAGAACATATTGGATCTGATGTTGCTCTTCCACAAAGACAAGAATCGTCTCGATCTAATTCTTCACTATCTTCTATTGATGAGAGCCAAAAGTCCAACCCAATGTTTAGGCATGCATCGCGTAGTCCTGTGGTTGCTGGTACTCTTAATTTATTTGCATCCTATTCTTTAGTTTGTATAACTAGTGATAACTTGGGTTTCCATAAATTCTTTTGAAAATATCATATATTCTGTAAGAGTAAATTCTATAATTCGTCCTTTATAACGAAGGATTTTTCATATGTAGTCTATTATCAAATATTATGCCTTTGGTCTTCTTTTATGCGTACCTTTCCACGGATAGTCCTTTTTTACCTTCTGACATGTTGGTGTTAATTTGAGGGCTAAGAGTGTAATTTTACATCGACCCTATGTATAATGTTGGGTTGACGGACAATACAACAATAATGACTTTAGTTGTGGACTAAGACTAAAGACGACATCTGAACACCATTGTTGTTGTAGTAGACAACGACTCCAATTGACAAATGGCGCACCTCTGGCATTGAATATGACAAGGATATATGATCATTGTGAAATTATAGCATAGCACTCAAATTAACACCAACATGACAGAAGGTTAAAAAAGGACTATCCCTAAAAAGGGACCACGGGTGTAATACTTGATAATAAATGACTAAATATGGAAAACCTTCTCTTATAGAGGACCACTTATAGAAATTACTCATTCTGTAACTACTTGAAATTAATGGTTGCACCGACCATTTATGAAAGTATAATTATTTCTATTATTCCAAATATTTTTGGATTTGTACAGCTTGTTTTACTTCATTTCTTCTGTAAACTCATCACTCTTAACTCTCTTTCCTTGTACAGATCCATCAGCTTCATTGTTGCATCAAGTTGGGAATAGATTCCAGGAAGTATTTCAGGTTAAAAATGGAAGTTGTGCTGATCTGCTACCATCAAAAATTTCAGAAATGAAGAGATCAAACAGTTTGGATGTGAGTTCAACACATTCTTTTTTTGCTGTTGATGAACCATAGGATTCAAACAAATGACTTATTCTCCCATTCACTTTTTTTCAGAATGCTCCAACACACTCTCTATTAAGTGTTGTGAATGGAATTTTAGGGGAAAGCACTCAACGGAGAAATGGAGTGCCCGAAGTATGGAATTAAATATTCTTATTGACTGTATAGTTCAATTGTGTTCACATGTATCATAAATAAAAATAATAATCTCTTCTTCTGAACACTCTTTACTTGCTTCCACTATTAGCGTGTAGCCTTCCTGCTGAGAAAAGTGGTGCAAGAGACAGAAAGGCGGATATCTACACAAGCCGAACACTTAAGAATGGTACACTGCTATTGATTAGCTTTTACCTTACGCTATCTTTGGTTCCAGGAATTTGAAAGAGAAAAGAAAAGAAAAAAAGAGGGAAACAAGTTTTTCTTGTTCGGCTAGAGAGGAAGAAAAGAAGTGGAAGGAAAAGTGATTGTGAGAAGAAATGAACTTGTTAAAGAGTACCCAAATCGGAACTTGAAGAGAAAATAAATTGGTATATAAGCTGTTGAGTTGAACTAAGTAATTGATTGGATTGAATCTTTTAATGTGGTTTAGCCTAAGTGGCTTATTACCCAATCTAGTTATCCTTACCCCATCCTAAATTCTATCAGAACTAAAGAAAAGAAAAACATATTTCATTCCATTTCTGCGGGGAAAATGAGAGAAAATCAGTTTCTTTTTCTTTTCCTCTCGAATTCCATGAACCAAACATAGTGTTAATGTTCTGTGGAGTTTAGTTGTTTAATATGTATTTCTTTTTCTATTTGAAGCAAAGTGATCTGTTCAAAGCTCGTGAAGAGAAGTACCAGTCGAAAATTAGGGTTCTTGAGGCCATTGCAGCACAGGCCAACAAAGAGTTGGAGGTAGTGTGGAACTAATCTTGTTACTTTAGACATATTTTCTGTTTTACATTATTAAAAAAAATATGTATCCCTATTTAATAAAATGAATTTACAGAATGAGGAGAAAAAGGTGGAGGAGAAAACGAGAGCAAATGAATATGGTGTGGTTAGATTGGTGGAGAGAAATAGTGATAACCTTCAAAGGACTTCAGTTTTAGGTAAAGAACCAGAGAAAGCTTATGATGACTGCAAAGATATTACAACAGACAAAAATTTTGTGGCAGAATTGAAAAAGGGAAATGACGATGAGACCAGTGAAGAGATTGTGGTTCCAAAACACGAACCAGAAGTTGATCCGGAAGCTTATGAGTCGCACGGTTGGGAGACAAGAACTGGAGAACAGCATGATGTTGCTTTGTTGATGAAGGAAAACGCCGAAGCAAATCAAAAGATTGCAGTTCTGAAGCAAGAGCTGGAAGCAGCTCAAAAAACTCATGAAGAACACTGCGCGCAAATGAAAACCAACAAAGAAGATTTGGCAAGATTGGTGAAAGAAAAGGACGATTCCAATAAAATGATTGCGATTCTGAAGCTAGAACTTGAAACAGCTCAAAAGACTTATGCGCAAAACTTGTCACAAATGAAAACCGACGAGCACAGTGTGGTTAGATTGATGAAGGAAAAAGATGACGCTTATCATGAGATTGCAGCTCTGAAGCAAGAAGTTGAAGCAGTTCGAAAAACGGATGAACCAGACAACTCACAAAGGGACACAAAGGAAGATGATATGGTTACATTGATAAAAGAAAGGGACGATTCCATTCAAGAGATTGCAGCTCTAAGGAAGCAACTCGACAGTGTTAAAAAATCATACGAAGAACATTGCTTGCAGATGAAGAGTGAAGAACACGATCTGGTTTCCTTGATGAAGGAAAAGAATGATTCAAAACAAGAAGTTGATGTTTTGAAAACAGAATTGGAAGAGGCGAAAAGAACTTACGAGCAGCACTGCTTGCAAATGAAAACAGACGCCGTAGAACTTCAACAAGATCTAGAGAAAAGGTTAAAGGAAATTACGATCCTCGAGGAAAGATTGAAGGAAGTTACTGAAAAGTTTACAGAATCAAGAAGCAGAGTAAATGAACTTGAAAAAATTTCAGAAGAAAAGTCTCAGAAGTGGAGCAAAGTTCAACACATTTACCAAATACTCACAGAATTCCAGCTCGGAGCGCTACGTGTATGTTTTGAAATTTCTCTCTCTTGTATTTCCAGCGTTCCTATCTTTTTTTTATTAAAAGTATTTGGTGTGCTCAGGAACTTAAGTTTTCTTCCCAATCCATAAAATCAGAAGTTACTAAAACACAGAAGATTTATTTGGAGGAGTTCAATCATTTAGGTAAATACAGTGGTTAAATGTGTTAGAAGCGGTTTTTTTCTTACAAATTATTTGAAATTTAATGCTCTTATGAAGTTATTATAAATCAATATAGGTGTGAAAATAAGGTCATTAGGAGATGCAGCTGCAAATTATTCTGTAATTCTCACTGAAAACAGGAAGCTACACAATGAGGTCCAAGAGTTAAAAGGTGCCACTCTATGGTTCATGAAAAAGTTATATGTGATCTGAAGAAGGATTTGATTTATCCTTTTTATTGTTGTCCTTAATGGCTCTCGTCGCTCTTTAGGAAACATTAGAGTATATTGCCGGGTAAGGCCATTTCTTCCCGGACAAAAGGACAAGCAGACAATTGTGGAATATATTGGTGACAATGGTGAGCTAATCGTCATAAACCCTTCCAAACAAGGAAAGGAAGGACGGCGTTCATTCAAGTTCAATACAGTCTATGGCCCATCTGCAACACAAGGTTATGCAACAATTACCCACTTCATGCGTTTTTAATATTTATTCATTTTAACTTTCTTAAAAAGGTAAGGCATAAATATTTACTCTCAGACTCTAACAAAGTTGGGATGGGTTTATTCATTTTAACTTTCTAAAAAATGTATGCTCATAAATTTGCAGCCCAAGTATTTGGAGATATACAGCCATTGGTACAGTCAGTTTTGGATGGATACAATGTGTGTATATTTGCTTATGGTCAAACGGGCTCAGGAAAAACATATACCATGGTAAGAAACTAATTGTATGTGATTTTCGGTTTGGTTTTATTTCTTTCATTTTAAGATATTGCTTACCACAACGAGACCACTCTACAGACCGGCCCTGATGGAGCAACAGAAAACCAATGGGGAGTCAATTATCGTGCTTTGAATGATCTTTTCCGAATTTCACAAGAAAGACAGAGCGCTCTCTCGTATGAAATAACAGTTCAAATGGTGGAAATCTATAACGAGCAAGTTCGCGACTTACTTTCTAATGACGGCTCCCAAAGAAAATATCCATAAATGAGTGCATAATCTCTATTTTGGCTATCATCATTGCTGCCATTTATATCTTGAATTGTTTTGCTCTTTTTTATTTTAAAAAAACTTTTTTTCCAAGTTAAATTCGCAATATCTAAGGTTTTCCTTAACGTGCAAACACTTGGGATTTCGACAACCTCACAGCCCAATGGGTTAGCTGTTCCAGATGCTAGCATGTTTCCAGTTAACCAACCGAATGACGTGTTGGACCTAATGAATATTGGATTAAAGAGCAGAGCGAAAAGCTCAACTGCCATGAACGAAAGAAGCAGCCGTTCACACAGGTTCCACAAAGAGAAATCTAATGATCTCACCGTTCTCAAAGTTCCAATTTTTCTAGTGTATATCTTGAGCTAATGGTTTCTATGCGCCCATCTCCACAGCATTTTAACCATTCATGTGAAAGGGACGGATAAGAAGAGCGGGTCAACAATGCGCAGCAGCCTTCATCTAGTAGATCTTGCTGGAAGTGAAAGGGTTGACAGGTCGGAGGTAACTGGCGATAGATTGAAGGAGGCACAGCATATAAACAAGTCTTTAGCTGCCCTTGGAGATGTCATTTCTGCTTTGGCAACAAAAAGTCCTCATATCCCATACAGAAACAGCAAGCTCACTCAGGTTCTNGGATAAGAAGAGCGGGTCAACAATGCGCAGCAGCCTTCATCTAGTAGATCTTGCTGGAAGTGAAAGGGTTGACAGGTCGGAGGTAACTGGCGATAGATTGAAGGAGGCACAGCATATAAACAAGTCTTTAGCTGCCCTTGGAGATGTCATTTCTGCTTTGGCAACAAAAAGTCCTCATATCCCATACAGAAACAGCAAGCTCACTCAGGTTCTTCAGAGCTCCTTAGGTAAACCCCCCCCCCTCCCCCCTCCCAATACACCTACATTGTGTTTGGTTCAAGGGTTTAGGAAGAAAAGGGTTTTCTGTCATTTTCCTCACCAAAATGGGAGGAATTCTATTTGTTGGGATTTTAAGCGCGTAAGACTCTTAAAATATCAAGAACGTGAAAAATAAATAAACACACTCCACAAGAAGAAAATATGAGAGAAAAATTATATCTTCACTATTTCAAAACGATACACAAAAAACTCTCCCTGTTTACAAGTGCTAAATACCAGACACTTATAAACAGACTTTTCACACCCTACACCTGGATGTATTTTTCGAGCAACTAAATAATAGCTACTCCCTACACTCACTCACACAATATTGGTGATATCTTGTGTAGCACCTCTCTCTTTAACCTTCCTTTTTTTTCATCTCCCTCAACCGTATTGTGCCATACATGGCTTTTAAATAGCCAAAAACATAATGGTAGGGAATATTCTAGCTCACACCTCCAAGAAGAAAAGAACAAAACTCCTAAAGGCTCTCTTGCAACTCACTTCTTGGTTGTTTCCACCAAGCTACATCTATTTTTTTTTCTTTTTTTTGTTTCAATTATTTAATCAAAAATATCTCAACACTATTTTTCTTCATCTTCGTTCATTTTGCCTTCTCATTCTCTTTTCATTCCACTTAACCAAACAAGAAAAATTATTTTCCATATCATTCTGTTTTCTTTTCCCTATCAATTTCCTTGAACCATAGTGCTAAACTCCATAGATAGTGATCTTTGGGCTCAAGGTAGTAGCCAACAAAACCAAGAGCTCGCACGCTAATTCGTAGTTCTTACTTTTCTACTCCCAAGCCAAGCCAAGTATTATTTATGTTTATGTCGTTGTTTCTTTTAAATGTAGGTGGTCAAGCAAAGACCCTTATGTTTGTGCAGTTGAATCCTGACTGTGTTTCGTATTCTGAATCCTTGAGCACATTGAAATTTGCTGAAAGGGCTTCGGGAGTAGAGCTTGGGGCTGCTAAGAGCAGTAAAGAGGGTAAGGATGTCAGGGAATTGATGGAGCAGGTACGCTTCAATCAATCCCACCACGGTTGCCCCCATGAATGACAATCTTATATGATTTATACATACACAGACGACAATATCATCTGCGAACATTGACGATTATTGTCTGTGTATGTATAAAATCATCTGTGATTGTCATCCATGGGGGCACCCGTGGTGGGTTTTTTTAGCATTATTTTCTGCAAAATCTTGAATGTTTGTTGGGCAATGGCCAGTTCAGCAGGCTTATAGTAATTGTTTTGTATGCTTAATCTCCCTTAAATGACACACACACACACATTTGATAATTCTATTAGCAATGGGGCTAAAATAGTCATTTTTTGCCATTTTTCGCTTCAGATAAATAATGGATTTAATCAAAATGACACATTCCAGTCATAAATAAATAACTGTGCAGGTAGCAACTCTCAAGAGCACAGTAGCAGCAAAAGATGATGAGATTGAGAAATTGAAGCTAGTGAATGGTCCCACAAATGCGAAGGCTTAATTGCTCTGTGCCCCTCACAATTTAGAGGTTTGTAAACTTTAACCCTTGAGAAGAAATTAATATGGACTAGATTGTCTTCTTACCTGAAAATACCTAAACTGAAAATACCTAAACTATGATAAAATATGCTAGAATCATTAAGTTTGATTTTTCTATTTGATATGTTCATGAAAATTGTTCTATATTTTCTTGCGTAATTGTAATTATTTTCCTAATTTATTTTCAGGGTTGGGATGTTTTTCTGCAAATAGAAAATCTAGTGAAGAAAGGTAGAAAATAGTTAGTGTCAATATTTAGTTGGCAATTATTATTATTATTTTTTATTTTTTTCCCCTTCTTTTTGAATTTCCTCGTGCAGCTTTTGTAAACTTTTGGTCTGCCAGGAAATTTTCACATTTTATTAAAAAATGCTAGAGACAAACAAAAAGGTTACAAAATTCACGAAGTCGCTATTTGTGAACCTCGCAAATGATAAGCTTGTAAATTTTGTGCTCTTTTTTTCCATTTTAATACTCCTAATATTTCTTATTATTTATTTGGACATCCTCAAAACTCCTAACACTTGGTTTTTAATCATCCGATTCTGACTTTATAAAAAAGTTATGAGCCATTTTACTAAGGGCCTGTTTGGGAATAGCGTTAGTGATTAGCGTCAGCGTTTTGGATAAAATTTTAACGGTGCAAATTAATTTGAAAACGCTAACGCTAAACGCTGCCCGTAGATAGCCTTTTGAAAACGCTAACGCTAATAGCTAACGCTATTCCCAAACAGGCCCTAAAACATAGTTTGGCGATTTTAAAAGAGGTACTGATATTGTTTGCAACGACCAAATGGATGTAAAAGATTACCTAACTTCAAATGTGTGTGTGTGTGTATCTGTGTGTGTGTGTGATTATATTGAGGTTGAATCCTATGATTCATCAAAACAAGCCAACATGATTATACGGAGTATTATTTTACTTTTTATCAAATAAATAGTGAAAATAATTAAAGAGAGTAAATAAAATTTGAGTACGTCAATATTAAACAAACAATTTCATTTGGAATGGAATGAGTATATAACATGCCAAATTTAATGCAAAATAAATGTTAGACACACTCACGAAATTTGATGGGCTGTTACGAAAATAGTAAACCAATTATAAGTACCCTCTTGGTTAAGTGGATTCAAATCAAAAGTCTCAATATTCAATTCAATTCAATACAAATGCCCCAAATATTCAATTGGATTCAATTACAATCAGGCTTTATTTGATACACGAAATTCAAATTATGAAATTGAAATTGGAAATAACAATTCCAATTCTGTTATTCGTTAGCACAAAAATATATGAATTTGGAATTGTTAGTGCCACAAATAAATTAGAATTCGAGAACTCAATTCTATCTAATTCAATTCCAATTCCATCAATTCTGTGTATTAAACAAACCCTCAAATTTCTGGGCACATCTAAAACAGAGATGAGTTCAAGGAATTGTAAGAAAGCTGGGAACAACTCAAGTCTTTCAAGGCCAACAAAAATAGTATTGAGAGTAGGAAAGTTCAACAAAAAATACATGGCAATATCATATGGAAAACAAAAATATTTTGGCATTTCATATATGGAGTCACTTTTTTTGTTGTTGTTGATGATTTCTGATATTTAAAAAAAACTCAACATACAAAAGAGGGGGAAAGGAAGTAATGTTACAGTTTTTCATAGATTATAACATTCTTTCCTACCACAGTTTCCATTTCCAAACCATCCCCCCTTCATCATTCTCTCTTGTGCTGTGAAAGACTAAAACAAATTAGTTAGCTTGGAAATCGAGAAATAGGCGTAATTTCTGCAGAAGCAGCTCCCGCGTCCCATAGAGAGGCGCCGCGATCCAGTCCTTCTCTAGGGTACCTGCCCTTAAACTGGCTGACATTTCGTCGTGGAACGCGACCACAATGCTGTAAATGGAAGTCCTAAGGACATCTGCCATTGAATAAGCTTTTGTGTACAGAAGGCTCCCCTTTCTTCTCCCTGCAACCCCAGAGGGAGTTGGGTCTCTTCTCCCAGAGCTGCTGTTCAGTGTTGCCCATTTGATCCCGGTGGGGTCCATCTGATGGTGATGGGAGGATTCTATGTTGGTCTTCTTGCCCATCAGGGCTTCCACGGCTAATAAACCTGACAACAGTGTTGAGACCACAGCGGCATTGCGTCCGGAGAGTTGTGCCACTCCATATCGGTCTTCTGTGCGCGACGATGCGGTCAATGAAGATGTGGCCCTGGCACACCATGCAAGTACCTGTGTATGCATTTAGAAATACAATCATTGGTTCACATGTTCGATTTCATGTTAGATTTCAGGGCTTTGCTTGTTGTAATTGTATAGCTGCTGCATTTTAACATTTCAAAAACTACGGTGTGTGAATTTGAAGAACTTAAAGAGAGTGTAAGCCATATAGGTAGTTGTAGGGCAAGTGCTACTAGTGTTGTGGTATGTATGAATGTATATATCTAAAAAAAATACACATTTGTTTCAAGCATTTTGTTGTCCCAACTGAGTCTCTTCTTTTTTTTACTGAAATTTATCGAACTGAATTTGATTTGAACCAAAATAAGTCACAAAGAAGATACTTTAACTCATTGTTGGAGTCATTCATTCAAGTGCACCTGTGAAATCAAAGTCTGTAAAGTGTTGATGAAGCAACGAGATATGGAGAGGACTATATAATTGGAAACAAACCACTTTCTATTCTAAATAAAACCAACGAGATATGTTCTGAAATTCCTTGTTTTTTAAACTCTTCCAGAAATAGATCTTTCTTACACTACACTTTTCTTCGGGCAAGCAAGCTCTAGATCTAATTCAACAAGGGAGCAATTTGGTGGAGCTAGAACTAGAATGTAAGAGTGGAAAATGAACTTGACATCATGTTATTCTGCATGCTCATCAGTACAACTCTTATGTACATGCATTATCTCAACACAAACAACACAAATGTACCAGCAATCTGATAAGTGTCTACAAAATAGCAACAGAGCCAGTACAATCCCATAAATGAGGTCTGGGTGTCCTCAGACCCCACTCCTACCTAGAATAGGTTGAGAGATTGTTCCAAGAGATCCCGGCTCAAGCACAAAAGAATCAATAAGCTCAGCAAGTAAAGGTATATTAAAAGAGAGAAAACCAAGCAAACACTGTACTACATCTATCGAAACACAAAGGCCCTATCCATAGAGAAACACCACTACTCTAGGCCTACTTTCAATCCTCGACCTGCAAACATTCCTATCTAGAGTCATGTCAGGTTTAAATGGAAATAGTGATGCTCACCGGTTTTGGTTGTTGCAGGTTGGAGGGTATGTTTCATGTCATTGCTCGTCATTAGGCCCACGTCAGTTAGCTGTGGTACCGCCCTAATATCATATTTAAAGGCTAGGCGGTAGCCTTTGTCTAGTGTCTCGTGGTGGGAGAGGCGGAAGATAACAAGAGAGCCCTATGAAGAAAGCTTATGATTCAAGAGTCCGCGGCAATTGAATTCTTAATTTTCTAAAATGATAATGTTATTAATGAATTGTTGAATATAAATAAGCAAAGCCTTACAAGAGAACTACCACAATCCTACTAGGAAGCCTAGATTCCTATTAACCTAGATCCTTAATAGGAATATTAACTAAATAGAATAAGACTACAAATGGTAAACTAAGAATAAGAATACAAATAGGAAAGAAATAATAACCGTGTGGCAGTAGTAATGATAATAACAATAAAACTATTAATAGTAATAATACTAATAATAATACTAGTAATAATAATAATAATAATAATAATAATAATAATAATAATAATAATAATCATAATAATCACAACAACAACAACAATAAATAATAATAGCAGCTAAGGACTTGTAACAGTACATTACCTGGTTGTCCTCAAATGACTCATAAAGTTTTGAGTCCACTAAAAGTTCTGGCGATGGCCTTAGCTGATAAGAAAACTGGAAAGAAGTGTCCCCACAAGGGCTATCCAGCACTTCACACAAGCCTCTTGTGAACTTCTCCAAAGGTTGCAAGCATGCATCCACTACCCTTTTGTAAGTCTCACCAGTTTCTTCAAAAAATGCAGCTCGGCGCCAAGAATCAACATTACTCTCACAAACCATGCAAAGGTCAATATATGCTAGATACTGCAAAAGGGACCTTGGCATGCTCTCTTCCAGNTGATAAGAAAACTGGAAAGAAGTGTCCCCACAAGGGCTATCCAGCACTTCACACAAGCCTCTTGTGAACTTCTCCAAAGGTTGCAAGCATGCATCCACTACCCTTTTGTAAGTCTCACCAGTTTCTTCAAAAAATGCAGCTCGGCGCCAAGAATCAACATTACTCTCACAAACCATGCAAAGGTCAATATATGCTAGATACTGCAAAAGGGACCTTGGCATGCTCTCTTCCAGGGTCACAAGAAGAGGCTCACTTGGATTTGTTTCAGCTGCTGCAGAACCTTTTGGATGTGAAAATACAAACCGTTTTGTTTGCAGAACCTAATTCAGTGACTGTGTCAGAACAATTCCATTCTCACATGTTCTGTTCATAGTTCATACCATCTCTAATCTATATAAAACTAATCAATGTAAGATATTTTATTAATTTAGCAAGAATAAAACATGCATGAATATGTAAGCTAGAGGGTTAACCTGATGTAAATGATGAGATAATTCCCAGCATAGAAACAGCACAAAGGTTCCCATGTAGAATATTATATGCTCAGTAATGAACTTCATGGCTGTCATTTGGCCTCTAAGCTCACTAGGAAGACCAAATGACAGAAGAGATGCCAACAAGAAACCTATTGTTGTAAGTTTTACAGCACGCCTGATAGCTGAAGGAATACCCATCTTAAAGCTGAAGAAAGGAGGACGCTGCAAGAACAAGATTTTCCTTTAAAGTTCCATAAGAAGAAAAGGGATAAAGCAAAACATCATATGAACAATGCAAGCAGCCAAAGGAGCTAAATGATTTCACATGACATCTGAAAGGGAAAAAAACAAAAGCACAATTAACTATACTACACAGGTTAACACGTAAGCATCTTCATAGAAAGTTTCATCATAACATCTATCAAACTAACGAAAATGTAAAACAAGTAAATCTTAGGTCGCCATGTCAGGATACATAGACGTTACAGCTACAAGCTACCATTCAAATGTAGGTGGTTAGAATTAGAAAGCTTCAAAGGAGTGAAAGGACACAGTGACGGACTTCTCTATTAGAAGACCAAATTTTGGAAGTGCAGACCAGAGAAACACAGAAGTTACTCAGCGGACAACCTGCTTACAATGTTTACATCTCACTCCCAACTCCAAAGGAGACAGATGCAACTAACCCAAATTTAAAGTCATTTACAAGCTATTAGAGCAGCTATTACAAACTCTGGCTCATAATCATGGATTTTGAGTATGATTTGGAGTTGGCGATTTAGGGTTATAGTGATTTTGAAACTTGTTTGGCTTTTGATTTTGTTTGTGACAAAATTAATTAAAAATAGAAATGAAAAATCACAAGGGAGAAAACACAGTTCTATCATCTCCAAAGGAGCCAAAGATTCAGTAGTTTTTGGTTTTGGGTTATGATGGAATATAGCAAAATGGCTCTTTAAACTGTCTTTGCTTCTTTTAATTGTTAAGTAGCAGTTTGTCAATACAACTTATGACGCTTATCATGGGTCATCCGAAAATAGCTGCTCTATGTTATAAACATAGGGGTGGGTCAGGGTGCGTTCATGATTGCCTGGGGTGCTTGACCAGGGGTCTCTTTGGAAACAACCTCTACTTTTGAGTAAGGGTAAGGTCCGCATACACACACCCTCCCAGACCCTAGTTTTTGTGGGATTCAACTGGGTTGTTGTTGTTGTAAGGGACAAAACACACCCCTCAATTTTGGTCAAATGGAAAAGAGAAGAGGTGAGGGAGAGAATATGGAAAGAGAAGTCAGTAGGGAGAGAGGGGGAGTGTAGGAAAGAAAATATTATTATATGGAGTAGTTAAATTTTGAGTCGGACTACAATATACTCCGTACCTCACATGGATGATCCGATAAACTACTCCTCTCATCCCAAAATGAAGTTTAAGGAAAGTGTAGAAATGTAAGAAGTGCATCGCTGGAATTTTGGGAAAAAGGGAGCACATGAAGATCTTCTAATGTGGCGCATGAATATGAAATCCGGTCAGTAATGTGTGTGCAATTAAATAATATGACAAAATTTTGCCGACATGTGTCACACAGGTATTCAATGTGAATCAACCACACCAAAGGTCAATGACAGATGACTATAGTCATGACTTGAAATCAACCCCAAACAAACAACAGATCTCAAATCCTTACTTGATATCATAGCCTGATTTGAAATCATAGGGGTAACCAAACATGGTCTTAACTTCTCAAAATACAAGTACTATTGTCCAAACATCAATTCTACTCCGAAAATGCTGAATTAGGTAGTAATGTCATTAGCAGAAGATTAAATTGACAGATGCTTATGAGGGTTTACCACAACCGCTTTGGAAACAAACAAATACAACAGACAAAATGCAGCACATAGCATCGCAATAGCCACTCCCTTAGGGGATTTAAATTCCTTGAAATGAATTCAGTTTGAGCAATAACTTACCTGGACAATTGGGAACTGAAGGATCCATCTCTTTTTAAGAACGTAGTGAATCCCATAGAACAGCCCAACCCCCAAACCCCTAAACCCTATATTCCAGATAATCATCCTCCTCGACCAAAATTGACTAAAAGCATCAGTACTCAAACAAACAGAGGTAATGGACACCACCGCAGAAAGACCACAAACCCCCAAAAACAGAACAAAACAGAGTGAAACCCTAGCACGGCGCTGGAAGTCCGGCAAGAGCAGCGGCTGAGAGCTAGACTTCGGAACAAAAACAATCCGCACCAAACCGAGCAGGAGCTCAAGTGGAGAAGCTGCGCGGAGAGGGTGAGGGGTGGAGAGAACGAAGACGGCGGAAGCAAAGAGGAGGAGTGAGAGGTGGAAGGCTATGAAAGCGAATAAGCCGATGAATGAGGGTTTCAGAGGGTTTATAGTGAAAGGTGAAAAGAGTATACTCTTGAGGAAGATGAATGCGGTGGATTGGAGAGCTTGCCAGATTAGAAACCCTAGGAACCGGTGTTTCACGACGGTGGCTTCGGCGGCGGAAGTGGTGGCGCCGCCTTCTTTGTTTTTGAATAGGGATCGCTCCCCCGCGGCTAGAGACATTTTTATTGTGTTCTTGAATGTACTAGGCGGGTATATATGGGCGGCGATGTTTCATTTTTTACTTATTGGAAGTTCTATAAAAAAAACTTCTAAATGAATTTATTTTGATTTTATGTTGATTGGAAATAATGTTGAAAAGACTGAATAATGAGTAACATAATTTGTTTATGTTGGAATGCCTTGAATTCTAACCTATTTGACTAGTCAACAATGGTTGCACCTGGTTGAAAAGTGGCTGGAAACCAGCTAGAAAGTAGCTGCAAAGGAGGCCTAGACAATTGGGCAAGTGGGTTGCTAGTTCGTGAGGTGGGCCGGCTGTATGACAGCAGTATTCTGGGCAACAGCTCAGATCCCACTTGATTTAGGCAGCCAAGTTGGCTGCCATCTTTCACATAAATAGGTTTATTTGTAAGGCATTCAAACATAGATCAGTCACCTAGAAAACCCCTCTGTAATCTCTCTCCTCAATCAGTAAAAGCTCTCTTCTCTTCTGTTAGGTGGATGTAGCCAATATATTGTTGGTGAACCACGTTAAATCTGAGTGTGTTTGTTCTTTCGTTTTCTTTCTTACATCCGTTATAACAAACTGGTATCAGAGCTCGGGTAATCGAGGTTTGTAATCTGGTGAGAAAGATGTCTGCTTTGAACGTAAAGATTGACAAATTCAAAGGGAGGAATAGTTTTAGTCTATGGCAGATCAAGATGCGAGCTTTATTGAAGCAACAAGGCTTGTGGATGCCATTATCAAAGGACATTAGGGCTGACGATGTTGAGTCGGCTGCCTTCGAGGAGAAGGCACATTCGACTATCATGTTGTGTCTTGCAAATCGCAAATGAAGAAACTGTAGCTGGTCTATGATTGAAGTTGGAAAGTCTATACATGACAAAGTCTTTAACCAACAAGTTGCTTCTGAAGCAACATCTGTTCGGTCTCCAAATGCAGGAAGGTACCCCTCTTAGAGACCATCTGGATCAATTAAATACAATTCTTTTGGAGTTGCGTAATATTGATGTTAAGGTAGAGGATGAAGATGTTGCCTTAATTTTGTTGGTTTCACTACCATTGTCGTATGAGAATTTCATACAATCTCTCATCGTTAAGAAAGATACCGTATCTCTAGAAGAGGTCAGGTTGTCTCTCCATACCAGGGAGTTGCGCCATAAGGCGACTGGTGCAGGAACAGACAATCAGGCCGCTGGATTGATAGCCAATGGAAGCAAGGGACATGGACAACTGGGCAAAAAGAAATTCAAGAAGCCAGGTTCCAAGGGTCGAAAGCAAATGATTTATGTAACTACTACAAGGAGAAAGGGCATTGGAAGAATGAATGCCCGAAGAAGAGAAAGCAACAACTGGAGCAGAAACCTAAAGGATCTGTTGCGGTAGCGGTAGATGGCACCAATTCTGAAGAGGACATTGCTCTGGTTGCAGACAAACACATGCATCATGCTGATGTGTGGGTCCATGACTTTGGGGCGTCCTACCATATATGTCCAAGGAGAGAGTGGTTCTCAACCTATGAGCAGATAGACGGGGGAAATGTGTCTATGGCAAACAGCTCGGTCTGCAAGGCGGTTGGAATAGGCTCGATCAAGATTCAGACGCATGATGGTAAATTCTGCACATTGCACGACGTCAAACATGTTCCACTAATGACGAAGAATCTGATATCCCTAAGCTTGTTGGACAGTAAGGGATTTAGCTTCAAGGGTGAAGGTGGAGCTATACATGTTTGCAGGGGCTCAAATGTGATTCTCGAGGGCGTCAAACGGGGAACTTCGTACTTTTTGCAAGGTTCAACAGACACTAATTCTGTAGCTGTTCCGTCATCTGTGGTTCACAGGGATGATTTGAACCGGTTATGGCATATGAGACTTGGACACATGGGTGAAAGAGGGCTGCAAATTCTATCAAAGGAAGATCTTCTTGGTGGTCACAAGATCAAAAGCCTTGAGTTTTGTGAGCTTTGTGTTTTTGGAAAGCTACATCGCAGCAAGTTTCCGAAGGCAGTTCACCGAACAAAGGGAACACTGGATTACATCCACTCAGACTGTTAGGGTCCATTTCGCGTTGAGTCTTTGGGCAGTCATAGATTTTTTATGTCGGTAATCGATTATTACTGAAGGATGACTTGGGTAATCATGATGAAACATAAAAGTGAAGCATTCAAGAACTTCAGACAGTGGAAGACGCTAATGGAGAATCAAACTCGGAAGAAGATCAAGAGGCTGTGAACTGATAATGGTCTAGAATTCTGCTCGTCTGAGTTCGATGTGTTTTGCAAGGATGAGGGAATTGCTTGACACCGCATAGTCAGGGATACACCACAACAGAATGGTGTAGTTGAGCGCATGAATCAGACACTTCTTGAGAGAGCGAGGTGCATGCTCTCTAACGCTGGTCTAACTAGATGTTTCTGGGCAGAAGTAGTTACAACGGCATGTTACGTAACAAACCGGGGTTACATAACAAACGGGGGACCACACACAGGCATCGATTGTTAAACACCTTATAAAGTGTGGACAGGGAAGCCTGCTGATTACTCAAATCTAAGAGTTTTTAGTTGTACAGCTTACTATCATGTCAATGAGGGTAAGCTAGAGCCAAGAGCTAAAAAAGGAATTTTCATGGGCTATGGAGAAGGGGTGAAGGGATATAGAATCTGGTCTCCATCTGAGAATAGGGTTATACTTAGTAGGAGTGTAATTTTTGACGAGAATCTATGTTCAACCCTATGGTGAAGTCCATTATTGTAGCAGAGAATGGAGTTGTTGATGGACATGTGGAGGTGCAAGTTACTCAAGGGGAGAGCGAGGCACAGAAGTTGGTCGGTAATCAATTACTATAACCAGAAACTAATCTGCCAGAATCTACACCTCCAGAAAATCAAACATCTGAAGGTTTTCAGCATAGCATTGCGCATGGTTGTCAAGTCGACAAGTCGAGTTGAGTCGGTGACGGGGAGACTAGTGGACTAGGCGACTAGTCGACAAATCATAATTAGTATTGAAATTTTTAACATTATATATATCTACATTAACCCAACATGAATATATATATATATATATATATATATATATATATTTATATGTCAAAATACCATAACCAAAGCAAACTTATGTGGCATAATGTACACTCCATCAGATTTTTGTTGTTCATATTTGGCCAAAAACCATATTTCCATCCGGGATCATTAGAGCTGGCTTTTCGTTTGGGGTCCTTGGATGGATCGTCTTCGTAGTCGCGGATATTATTATCTCTCATTTGTTCTGAAATAATTATTAAATCAAATTGGTGAATATGACATTCTAGCAACTAAACAAAAACAAGAGCCTAGAGCCCTTAAAATATTAAAATAAGAAATACAAAACCAAAATATTAATTGAATTCAGAAAAAAATTGAAATATTAAACTGAAAATAAAATTGAAATACTAAAATAGTAGAAACTGTAGAATAAGAAAAAAATTAAAAGAAATCTTAAACTGAAAAATTAAAAGAAATACTTTAATGATAACAAAGTAAAAGAAAACTTACCCATTGAGGAGAGTCGGTGATGGAGGCTGATGGAATATAATCGATGATGGAGGAGAGTCGCTGGAAGCCTGGAAGTCGCGGAAGTCACCCTGGAA